GTACGTCTGCCACAACACCTGACACCAGAGTCCCCCTCCAAGACGGTGCCTTGTAACACTCTGGCCTTCCTGCCCTGGTGGGCGGCCGCCTTAAGCCAGGAGTGTGTTTCTCAGTAAGTGCCTTACAGACAATAAATTACCCTCAAGTTGCCTTAATGACAGAAGCCCTGCAGGACTTTACCGTGGTATACCACATTGAAACATTACGGAACACAGCAGAGTGCAGGGAAGCAAAGATGACCCGGCTGCCACGGCCAGGCTGGCTGCTTTCTGGATCAGAACCCAACACTGAACCGAACAGAGGAGACTGAGGAGACCCCATACAAGCATTCGAGACCGGACCTCCTTCTCCTGCAGAACCGGCAGTCACACTCCAACCAGGCGACACACGAGGGGGAGCTACATGGAAGTGTGTTGATAACCCTGGACAGGAGGAGCTTCTTTACACAGAGGGTGGGAGATGTATGGAACAAGGTGCCCATGGGATCAAATCTTTGGGAGAGTCCGCTGCTGAGTGACCGAATGATCTGGATTGGCTGGAGGTTGGAGGTTGGCCTCCTCTCGTTAGCTAATTGCTCTTTGGATGAGTTAATAATGATCTGGAGACGTGAGACTGGATCTGGAGAGACTCTCAGCCAATCAAGTGTGAGGAGGAAGAGAACTGATACCATCCTCACTCTCACCTTCCCAGGCAGGTCTTCCAATCAAACATGTGCAGTGAATATACAGTCTATATTTTTGTAGAGATCAAAGATGCTAATTTTAAAGCCTAGGTTCACCTAGAAATGAAAACAATTAAAATTTATTTCTCCTACAAATCAAAATGTACATTTAAATGTTTAATTCCTCTTAAAAACAACAATATTGCTTTAAACGTACAAAGGCTCCTAGAAATAATAACAAAATGTATTTTGTATGTATAATGTCTTCCAGAAATCTAAAATATTAATTTAAATGTACAAGTCAAGGTCCCCAGTGTTTATGAAAATACTCTGAGAGTTTCTGTTCCTAGGAAACCAATTAGCACGGAGAAAATACTTTTTTTCTCTTACTTTAAAAACAGTTTCAGCAGCGGCTCACTGCATTAGAGCCGCGCCAACTCTGCGACACGGCTAGTTTCAGCAGCGTGATTAGTTCTGTAAGACAGAACCTGGCACTCAGAAACATTTACAGGATAGTATCTGTCAAATGAACCAGTACCGGTATCGGTTCGATCTGCTCTCTGTCACAGAAAAAATAAACAGGCGTGTTTTTATTTTTTTAAAATCTGAAAATAGCTCCTGGTTTGTGTGACCGACGATTAAACAGCAGATTAATCACACATGGAATGTTATTTAGTAATATGTTATTGCCTTTTTTTTTAAAAAAAAAAGCTAAATTTGAATTTGCTTCAAGCCACAGGCTGCTGTCGGGAGGTTATTTAGAAAGCAAGCGCCCCCTCTGCCGGTAAAATAGCAGTACTGCAAGACAAGACGAACTTCCGTCTATTCGCATCGGAGTGTTCCGCTCTAGGAGTCCATCTGTAACTCCTATAACCTTTTGTTACAGTTTGGACACAAACCTACCAAGCGTGTGGTAATTCTTCACGGTTGTTTTAATTTAACTGAATCCGGATTTTTGAGCAATCTGCAGTGGGAGTCTGACTGGCCGCGCTGTTAGAGCTGGAGCAGATGAGACTGCTGTGCACTGGGAGTCTGGCTGATACTGTAAGACCTGCATCAGACTGCTGTGCACTGGGAGTCTGGCTGATACTGTAAGACCTGCAGTGGATCAGACTGCTGTGCACTGGGAGTCTGACTGATACTGTAAGACCTGCATCAGACTGCTGTGCACTGGGAGTCTGGCTGATACTGTAAGACCTGCAGTGGATCAGACTGCTGTGCACTGGGAGTCTGGCTGAAACTGCAAGACCTGCATCAGACTGCTGTGCAATGCTCGTCTGACTCACAACACTATAAAGCTTGTAGTGGCTCAGACAGCGTTGCTCTGGTGTGGGAGTATCACCAGCCCCAGCTAACTACAGCCGGTGAAGCCTGTTCTGATTTTGCCAACATGCATGATTGAAATCAAGACGTTTACAGCTTAATTTTTGCACACGTTTTAATGTAAGCAATGTAAATATATATTGTTGTGGGCTTTTTTATATTTTCTGATTAAAAGTGATTTTCAAAATAGATTAGGTGTCCCTGACTTTTATTTACCACCTCCAGCCCCCTCATTAGGACACTGCCTGTACTCCCATTACACTGGGTTTATCTTGATACACTGTCCATAGACACAGCATAAACCCAGTTGTTATAATAAATTGCATTTTATGTTGCACTTATCACCATCTATCATCCCGAAGTGCTTTACATGTAACAGAGAACCCACCAAAACTCCACTGAAGTGTAACCCAACCTGGGAGCCACACTGGGTTAATTCTGCACCAGCAGCCCTACCTGGGAGAAACACAGTGGTCCTTCTGCCCAGCAGCACCACCTGAGAGACACACAGAGGTCCTTCTGCACCAATTCAGAGGGAAGGAGAGAGAAACTGCAGCACTAGGTGGGTTAACAGTGAACTTAAGGACAGAGTGCACAGCCTAGCGTGGGGTTTGGTTAGTACTCCAGGGTGAACATGCCTACTGTTGCATACATTGTTCTGGGCTCTTTACTGACCAGGTCATCAGGATATCCGTTCCCCCCAGTGATTTTCACTCCTGGTCAAGGAAGGGCTTGGCAGCCAATTTATAATCTTCAGTGAGCAAAGAAACAGAAACAGTGGGAATATAGAACCAGTAAATAACCAGATGATCCATATCAAGTCAGTAACAGGGCAGGGTGGAATGAAAACCAGGTCACACAGTGCCCCCTACAGGACCAGGAGTGAATATCAGTGTCTTAACACCTCACCAGACGTTGAGCTTGAGGAACTAGTTTGGAACGTCTGCTGCGGAGGTAAGAGCGCCGCCTTGTGGTCCACGAACGCCACTGACAGCAGCCACCTGGTTTTCCAGTACTGTCCAGGCTACATGCGGTTTCTCACCTCATGCCTGCCACCTCATTAACAAAGAGCCCATAGATTCAAATATATTGAAGTAGCAGAGCTGGATAAAGTTTCTCACTTTTCCATTTGCATCTTTTATTATAAAAAAAGAATTGCAAAAACAAAAGGGGAGGTACTAGACAATCCTCTTGGCTGAACTAGAGGAGATCCCGGACACGGGCACGCTGGCACGGGCCGGCCGTCTGAGAGGCCGAGTGTTCTGGATCTTGTGCCACATGAAGGCCGCTGGCCTCCGAAACGGCTGCCCGCAATCGCAGGTGAAGGGCGCGCGGCACGCCCTCGCCACCCCTTTCCTCCTCCTCTTCCTCTTCTTGTCCGGCCGCGTCTGTGTGGAGAGACGCCGCTCCCTCCTGCCCCCCTTCTCCTCCTTCCCCATCTTGTGGCGGGCGAGGCGCTGGGCACCCGAGAACGTCCGCCCGCAGGGGGCGCAGACGAAGCGGGTGGCCTCGGCGTGCTGGACCTGGTGCCGCAGCAGGTGGAGCCGCCGCACGAAGACCCGGCCGCACGGGCAGCGGTACCCGCGCCAGCCCCGGTGGAGGTAGCGGTGACAGATGCCCAGCGAGGGCTGGCGGGAGCTGGCGCCACACTCGCGGCACTTGAAGGTGGCCGGCCGCCCCTGGCCCCTCTCCGCTGGGCGCTGGCCCTGGCCGCGGCTCGCATACAGGGCCAGGATTTTCAGCGGCTCCTGAGGTGGTCTGGGGTGCCCGTTCGGGAGCTTGGCGTGAGGCAGCGGCTGTGGGCTTGGGGCGGGGGGCTGAGGCACCGCCTGGACCGTCAAGCCCGGCTGCATCTGAGGTTGGACAGTAGGGGTTTGAGTCTGAAAAACCACCCTGGCAACTCTGTTACCCGTGATGTCATTGCTGAAAACAAGTGTGGCCACCATGGGCTGTGTCCCCGATTTCTCCTGGCCGGAGGAAGGCAACACTACGCCTGGAAGGGGCAGACGGGGAAGGGTGCTACCCATTGACAAAGTAGCAGCCAAAGTTGGGGCACTCTGCAAGGGGGTGACCTGTGGTGTGCCTTGGGCAATGACCGTAGGGAGCGGGGCTGGTTTAGGATTACTTTGGACAGGAGTTAGGATGGCTGTCCCTTGGATCGGGGATGGTTTGAGATTACCAGGGACAGGAGTAAGTATGGCAGATCTTTGGATTGGCGCAGGGACAGGATTACCACGCACAGAAGCAAGGATAGTAGATCCTTGGATTGGGGCAGGGATGTGGTTACCAGGCACAGGAGCAAGGATGGCAGTTCCTTGGATCGGGGTTGGGATGGCACTGCCAGGGGCCGGAGGCCTTTGGATAGAGGCTGTTTTGGGATTACCAAGGACAGGAGTGAGGATGGCAGACCCTTGAATTGAGGCAGGGATGGGATTACCAGGGACAGAAGTGAGGATGGTAGACCTTTGGATTGAAGCTGTGATTTGATTACCAGGAACAGGAGTGAGGATGGCAGATCCTTGGATTGGGACTGTCCTCGGATTACCGTGGACAGTGGTTAGGATGGCTGAACCTTGGATCGAGGATGGGAATGGATTACCAGGGACAGGAGTGAGTATGGCCGAGCCTTGGATTGAGGCTGGAATGGCACTGCTGGGAGCTGGGATAGGGTTACCAGTGGCAAGCACTGGGATACGGCTGGTCACAACAGGAACATAGGTGGTATTCCCTTGGAGAGGAGCTGGGGCAGTGGTCATCGTGTAACGGCCTTGCATGGAGTTACTAAGCACAGGAGCCAGTGTTGCAGCAATGCCAGAGGCAGAGGTTACTATGAGTTTACTGTCAAGAGGGGCCTGCACCATGGTTGCAGAGGTAGGGGCCAGGATGAATGTACCCGGTACAGAGGTTCGGGTGGTGCTGCTTGGGTTAAGGGTTAGTGTTGACATCCCAGTGGGAGGATTCGAGATTTGGTTACTGGGCAAACTGGCCTGGGACTGGATGGCTGGGAGAGGCAGGACCGACGTCCCAGGAGTTGGGGCCGAGACAGGTGACCCAAGGCTAGGGATCGGGGTTCGGAGGGGGGCTGGGGAGATGGTGGCCTTGCCAGGACAGGTGTGGCGCCTGAACACGACACAGTCGGGGAAGACCTCCCGGCATGACTCGCAGGCGTACATGCGGACTGTGTGGCAGTGGTGGATCTTGGCCTTGTGGTCCAGCAGAGCCAGCTCCGTGGGGAAGGTGCTGGAGCAGTCCGCACAGGGGTACTTGGTCTTTTTCCGCTGGGAGCAGCAGAACATGTGGCGGAACCTGAAGTAGGCGGACTGGTGAAGACGCCCGCCGCACTGCTCGCAGTGGCTGGAGCCAGACTGGGCCGGACCGGCACCCTTGGTGGGAGCCGACCGGCTACCGTTCGCGGCCCGTGTCGGCATCCTCCTCGCTTTCCGCGTCCGCCGCCTCTTCCGGGGGCGGTAGGAGGAGCCGCTGGAGTTACCGCTGCTGCAGCTGCTGCTGCTGGGGTTGCTGGAGTCGCTGGACGCCCCCGAGAGACCTTCGGGATTGAAGTCCGAGTCTCCGGGGGGTAGGCTGTCCCCTCCGTCACTGCTATCCTCTTCCAGAGCGTCCCGCTCCTCCTCCCGCTTGCTGGCCAGGCTCGAGCTCAAGTCCCCGCTAGAAGACGGGCTTTCCTGCTTTATCCCAAGACGCACGCCAGGCTTCACCAGAATCCGTTCCTTACGGGGGGAAGGAAGCGGGGGCACGAGGGAGGAGACGTCTGGCTTGATGTCGTCGTCTTCCTCCACCGGAGCCCCAAAAAGCGTCGACAGGGCGACCTCCTGCTCTTCCTCTTTGGGCACTCTCTCTGCTCCCGCTCCCTTCCCTACTTGCGTCTCTTCCTCGTCCTCCTCCTCCTCCTCTCCCCCCTGGCTGCGGCGGAGGCCGACATTGCGGAACATGAAAATCTGGAGCTTCTTCTTCCGGGCTTCTTCGGGCAAGTCCTCCGGGGAGAAGCCCAGCGTGACCATCTTGGTGTGCCGCATGCGAATGGCGTAGGTCCTCGTGTGGCCAGCGCCGCCGTCGCTTTCGTTGTAGGTGTGGTCCCCCGCGGAGGAGGCGGCGTAGGTGGTGCAGAGAGCGCCGGGCCCCTCGCCAAGGCGGGGAGGAGATACCGAGGTGTCCTCATCCCCCGGCTCGGCCATTTTTGGGGACCCCTGCTGGCTGTCTGGACAGGGGAACCCGTCTGGCGGCTGTCCGTTCAGCCTCTTCTTCTCCAGGCGTGCTACCTCCTGGAGCTGGGTTGCATAGTGGGCCGGGTGGGACGCCAGGTGCTGGTTGAGGGCCCACAGGGAGGCGAGGGCCTGGCCGCAGGGGCAGCGCAGAGGCAGGTCACTGTGCACGTTGGCCAGGTGGAGGCGCAGCGAGACCACGCGGCGGAAGGTGATGCGGCACACGTTGCACACCATCTCGGCCTTGTGAGCCTTGAAGTGCAGCACCAGCTGCTCCAGCGTGGCGAAGCTCTTCCCGCACTCCCAGCACAACGAGCCGTCCTTGCCCGCCCCCCCCGCCATCCTGGACGGGCTGGTGTTCCAGATGTCGTCCAGATCGGAGGTCCTGCCCCCTGCCCCTTCCCCGCCACCCTCGCTGCCCTGCCCCTGCCGCCTCTCCCCTCTTCCTCGACATCCATCCCGCTGGCCCCTCTCCGCCACGCCATTGTAGTCTTCCTCCTCGCTGGAGTCGGCCAGGAGGCTGGGTTGGTCCCACCTGCACTGGCTGATCAGGCTCTGCCCCTGCGAGACAGGGAGGAGAAAAGAATGACAGAGATTCAGAGCAAAAAGCAGTAGATGAGGAAGTCACAATTGAAACCAAATCCTGACTGGTGGGCTTCTCAACAGTTCATCACTAAAAGGCTTGACTCCTGATGCAGGCCGAAGAAACTCCTAACAGGGTGTGCATCCTGATACAAGACCTCCGGACACTTCGATGATTAAACAAGTAAAATTGTTTAAGGTAAACGCCCAGGGCCAGCGCGGTGCAGAGGCAGTCCAGACTGCAGAGTGTGGGACAGATTGCAGAAGGTGGATATTTAAAAAAGTAGAAATAATAAGTACTGCAGACGTTTACCTCATTGTTTTCAATTTCACAAACTGAGAAGGCCCACACGACATGCATAGAAGGGTCTGGCAACAGTGTTTAACCGTGCAGTCGTATATTTAAAAGCAGGGCGCTGCAGAGCTGAGAAATTCGGTCTCCATATTAACACACAGCCACGAGCTCCTGGCCCGGCCCGTTCTCGTGCTCGGAGATCTTACTGCTCCAGCGCACAGCTTTCTGGCAGAATATGCCAGGCGACCTTTCATAACACTGTACAACATTTCCTCCATCAGCAAAAATACAAATATCCCTTCTCCCCACTTCCTGATCTCCCCACATGATCACTCCCAGCAGCCTGTTCGGGAAAAGCCCGCCCCCTGCTTGTCCGGACACTCACGACCGACAGCTCCGCGTCTCCGTTCTCCGCCTCCTCCTGCAGCTCCACCTCCGCCCCGACGCCGCCCCCCATCACCGTCTCCGCGGAGACCTCGTCCAATTCCATGGCAACGCCCACCTGGGAAACAGGGTCCATGGTGACCTGAAACAAGCCCCGCCCTCAGTGCAGGTCTAGAACGGCTTCCACCCCCCAGTCCTACAGGTACCCCCGGTCCAGAGTGTCTTACAGGACAGTGGTCCTTCAGGTACCCCCGGTCCAGAGAGTCTTATAGGACAGTGGTCCTACAGGTGTACCCCAGTCCAGTGACTCTTACAGGACAGTGGTCCTACAGGTGTACCCCGGTCCAGTGACTCTTACAGGACAGTGGTCCTACAGGTGTACCCCGGTCCAGTGACTCTTACAGGACAGTGGTCCTACAGGTACCCCCGGTCCAGAGACTCTTACAGGACAGTGGTCCTACAGGTACCCCCGGTCCAGAGACTCTTACAGGACAGTGGTCCTACAGGTGTACCCCGGTCCAGTGACTCTTACAGGACAGTGGTCCTACAGGTACCCCCGGT